GACTTAGATACTCACTTAATTATCTTATGAGGTATTTCGGTTAGCTGTCTTTTGCAATTTACATACTGGCGATGTTTTTATAAAAATGATTAAGTAATCAACTTGGCTAAGTATAATGACGTCATAATTGAAAAGAAAAAGATATTCTGTATTTTTAATTAAGTGTGGCTTAATACGATGACATCTTAACAAATCGAGTATACACGAGGTATTACAATATGCATAACCTAAAATTTTAATATTAGAAGTGAGATCTTGATCTAATCAGTGAAGTTTAAAAAACAAGGAGCATGAAGTGAATACCGGAAGAGATTGGATTCTCTTTTTTAAGGGCTGTTTTCTTCATTCCACTTTAAAATCCCTTGATAAAGACACTAGTGCAGTCAAGCTCAGCTCCGAAGGAATTGAACCACAAAATGGGTCATTATTATATTAGTCAATAGACATCATTTATAGGATCATGACAATCTATACAGTGAGCTGTTTACATGTGATGTGATTGTCACTAGCAAGTGCGATATTCACGTGCTTCCTAACTATTTCATTCAGAAATTCTCTTCAACGTACGCTAACACTTTGTATGCCAGCCAAAATGAGAGACTTTGAATTGAATTCCATGTGTACCCACCCATTCAGGGATAGTAAGCTCCAGTAATTTATTGTCGGATATGCTCTTTTACTAAAGCTCAATTGAGCTAAGTATAAGAAAAGTTCAAGAAATCTAGAGCTCATAGAGAATTTAAGATTAGGGTTTTTTGGCACCTATATATATATATATATATATATATATATATATATATATATATATTATTACTTAAATCATCATCCTCTAGGTCATTGAACATAAGAGGTAAATTCAGATCTGAAAAGTGCATACACACTTCTCTTTCCCTTTCGAGAGATAGCTTGGAAGGTTTACCAAAACTTGAGAGATCTGTTCGTGCTGTGACACAGAAGAGACCGGTTCGTAAATTCGTGCCGTGACATAAAAGACACCGATTCGTGGAGCATCATCTATGATTTGCGCTATAAGAGGTAATCAGAAAAACAACAATGATATGTTATATCCCAATTAGTAGCGGATCCAGGAAATTAATGAAGGGTGGGCACTGTTTAAGTACATATAGATCTAGGTCTGGTCTGGAACGTGACTTGCGAGCAGGTGTCGACTGGCTAGGTCTGGTTTAGATCTAGATTTGGACAGATTGCGACTCAACTTGACCGATGATGGAGAAAGAAACAAATGTTCCAAGTTCTAATAACGGAGATTGAGGTTTGAGAGGAGATGAATCAGTATGTAGATGCAAACGAGCTCTCTGCTGTTAGGTTTGGATAATGAAGGTGGAGGAGGAAAAAAAAAAACTTACGAGAAAATAAAATAGGAGGAAAATTAAAGGGATATAGGATATCGTAACAATCAACTAGGGTTACCACTAATGTTACTGCCAATCAATTTCACCGTTAGAACGATTATGTTGATTTAACAATTATATTTATTTTCATCTTGTATGGTTATGATCCCCATATTTAATGCAAAATCATTAAATATGGAAAATCATAATCATACAAAGGTGAAAATAAATATAAAGTATTAAATAAGGGTAATCATAACTATACAAAGATAGAAAAAATATAACCGTTGGATCAACATAATCGATCTAATGGTGAAATCAATTGGTAGTAATATTGGTGGTAACACTATTTGATTATTACAATATCCTATCCCAAAATTAAATTAGAAAAATTTGAATTTTAAGAGAAAAATGTTTTTATATTTTTGCATCAAATTTTAAGGGTGGGCACTTGCCCCCCTTCTCTAACACTTGGATCCGCCTTTGATCCCAATCACAGTGATCTAAAAAGCTTCCACAAATCCAATTACACCGACATTTATAAGACAACCCTTTAGTTAGTTGAGTTGACATTATAAGTGCAAGCATATTCTTTAATTTTGAGGAAAAGGTCCCTATTAATCCTTTTACTATTTAACATGTGAGCGCTAAGCCACAATATAAATGTTACTTTTCTAGTTAAGCTTGAATTTGTGTATGACAATTATCAGTATGCAATCATTAAACCAAAGAAACGAAAACAAAAGATATTGAAGTGACCCAATAATATGAAAACTTACCTTAATCCTCGAGTAGTAATTATCGGCAAATGTTGTAAGTGATTCCATAACCTTTACGTAGAAATACATGATGCATATATAGTTGAATCTCATAACAAGCATCTCAAGTAGGGGTGCTAAACGAGTCAGGGGTCTTACAGAGGCTTTTGGCTCGGCTCATAAAGGCTTGAGCTTACATGTTTAAAATTGATTGTTGGACCCAGGCTTGGACTTGTATAAAAGTTCGTTTAATAAAAAGGCATCGGGTTCCAATTTAAAAGTTCGACCTTAGAGCCTCTCAGGCTTGCCTAATATATTAATTTTTATTTTTTTTATTTTTTTATACTACTTGTGATAGCCCTCTCTCTCTTTAATCCATTTTATCCTATTTTATTAATTAAACAGACTTTTTGAATGATTTTATTTTATATTATACTATTTGGATATACATTAAATTTATGAATATTTATGAAATTACTAGTGCTGTTGATTATATATTTTGTTTGGATAAATTTTTGTTGTCTTATTTTTTTTAAACAGGCTAAACTAGACTTTTATTTTTTTTAAGTAAGACGGGCCACAGGCTGAAATTATATTCATAACAGGCAACAGGCTTGACCAGACTGATACATTTAAATACAGACTTAATCTTTTAAGATCAAAACTCGGCTCGACTCTATCCGTTAACACCTCTAATCTAAGGTAAGAGCAAGAGTAAATGTTTAGTCCCTAAAACAGTAATAGGCATCTCATGGTCCTACCAAAAAAATAAAATAAAAAGGCCTGAGCTGTAGAGTGTAGAGTAGTAATAGCCATGTTAATATACCACAATCCGTTCAGATGGATTAAAATCCTCTGCAATTGCCCAAAAAACTGCAGATTGTGCAATTATTAATCTCACTGTTCAAATTTTATAAAAAAAAATTTTATTGATATTTTACTATGCAATATAATCATTGTTACTGTCAAGGTGTTCTGCAGTTTCTGGAAACTGCAGAAGATCAGTTTAAACATTTCCTTGACAATGGCACAAAAAATGTAATCGGAAAAAAATGTATACGAAATCGATTGATCCTGTTGTTTAGACATATTTACTTGACCATGGCACGAAAAATTTGATGCAAGAGAATCATATGTAAATGAAATTGTTTAAATAATAAAGTGGATAAGCTAAAAATCTCTCAAACGGGGATCAAAATGATCATCAGCTATTTTTACTTAGAACACGTTGGTATTGAATTATTAAAATAAAAAATTTTATAATTTTTTTATTTTAAAAATATTTTTATAAAAGCTATAGCTATTTAGATTTTAAAAAAAAAATATTTGATTTTTGAAAAAAATATTTAACTTTTAACTTATACTTTTTTTCGAAGCTATAACTATTCTTTATTTGAAACAAATACCAAATATTAAGGATATATTTGGTATTTTGGACATTTGGCTTTTTTTTTTTTTTTAATTTTACTTCTTAAATACTATTCAATTATGTTTTCTTTTACTTTCAATTCCCCGAAATAAAATACAGGCAGAATTTTTTTGATACATACTCTCAGGCAGAATTTAATTAAGGAAAAACTTCACTTTCATTCACTTAATGGTTATATCATTCATAGTTTAGCTCGTATGGTTTCAAACTTACTGGTTAGATCCATTGGAATTTCAATTCGTATCATTTAACTTCCCAAATACCAGATATATCCTTAATATATAAAATGTCAAAAATATCCTTAATAATAAAATTATAAATTAAATGTCCAAAACACCCATAATTAAAAACAAAACCCCCTATATGTATATAAAAAGACCCTGTAATATTATATAAATTCAAATACATGAAACAGATTTAATTATTTTATGATATAAACTTTTATTATTCACAAACAAAATTATATATATTTTCATTACTTTATAAATAAAATTAAACAATATCCATATATAAAAAGTGTTAGAACAGTACTAGGGAGCCCACCAATGGGCTAACAGACAAACCACACTACATGTGTTGATATCACATTTCAACCCAAAGCAATGAGTTTTTTTTTTAATTTATTTTGTTCTCATTTTATCTATTTTTAATCAATGTAATATTTTTCACTCACTTGAATTTTATTTCTAACATCAAGAAGTTTTTTTTTTTTTTATACAAAAAGAAAAATAAACTACAACAAAGAACTAGCCAATAGCTACAATTCTGGGCCAAGAGGTGCCCCTTAAATCAATTTGTAGCCTCACCATATATACAATTATTTGGACTCTCCTTGAAAATAATCAATTTCTCATTCATGGTTATAAGCTTGAGAAGCTAACCGGTCGGTTGCGATGTTAGCCTTTTATGGTATGACCGTATGAGATATCTTGATATATATAATATATCCCAATTCCTACTTAAGAGATCTTGGACCCTGTACACTAGATTTGACCAAGGGTGATTGTTTTAGCAGCCTCCTCCTATGAGATCCAAAGCCACATTTGAATCTTTTTCAAGATGAATTCTTCTAAAATTTGTTCCCAAGACAGATTGAGACCAATTAGAATGCCCCACAACCTGTCAGCCTTCCCCTATTGGCACCATATCCATCAACATTTAACTTGATCCAACCAGCCTCTGGAAAGGACCCACTCACCTACAATTCAAATATGGTTATGGGTTGGAGACCAGTAATGCATGTTAAATTTGGTTTCCGTATCTAGGAAGTTTAGAAAAAAAAAAAAAAAAAACTTTTGCATTTTTTACCACATTCGGATAAGCTTCTTTTTTTTTTTTTTTTTTATATAACATTCGGATAAGCTTTTATTTCACTACTAAAATAATAAGTATTAGAGACAGACAATTTTTATTTTTATTTTTGTAAATAAGGAGGGGCTAAGCCCCAGAAACAGAAGAAAACTACAACTCAGAAACTATGAAGCTAGACATATTTCTAGCATCATTATCTATAAGACCCATAACCTCAGGAGGAGGATCAGTAAAAATCTTTAAGTGAAGATTATCATTCTGACCAGCCTTTGCAAACCAATGAGCACGCTTATTGTTATCTCTCTTTGTATGAACTAAACGAATAGTCCAATCTGCTTTTAACCATAATCTCAATCTTCTAGTTACTTGAGAGTCTCTTGGATCATCATGAACATCCTTCAAAATCTGAATGGCTTGGTTAGAATCACATTCCACTTCTATATTTTTTAAGCTAGTACCCCAAACCAACTCCAAACCTTTCAATACTCCCCAAAGTTCTGCATCAACGGGATTACAAAAACCAACATCACAATAAAAACCTCCCAGAAAGGATCCAGTATGATCTCTTAAAATACCCCCACAACTAGCTTTATTCCTGCTACTATAAGAGGCTCCATCACAATTCAACTTGACCCAACCTTGCTGAGGAGCTACCCAACTGCTATCATCGGAACTTAAGCGCCCATTTGTAGCTCGAGACTGCACAATTTGTTGAATGAAATACCAAATTGTTGCTGTCGACTGCTCTTCCCGTCGAAAGAGATCATCATGGATCTCCAAATTTCTCCATTTCCATAAAAACCAAACCGTAGTATAAAAGATGTCCCTCCAGTCCTTAACTTCGCTTGAAGTCCACAAGTTCTCTCTATTGGAATTCAACCAATCCTGCAAACTCAACATCAAAAAAGAGTTTGGTATCATACCTTTAAACCAGAATTGCCAGAATTTCCTCGCATGTCTACAATCACGTAAAACATGGAGAATAGTTTCTTCCTGATTAGGACAACTAGGACAGACATTAGGACCTCCACTCCATTTGTTGGTTCTGCTACGCACCGAAATTTTAGATAACAAAGTCATCCACATAAACACTTTCACCCTTTCTGGTCCTTTTCAAGTCCAAACCTTTTTCCATAAGCTAGCATGAAGAGCTTCTGGAAAATTCATCAGGTTATTGTAAGCAACCTTAACCAAAGAAGTGGAGCTATGATTATTAATCCAAACTAATCTATCATCGCCATTCCTTGGAATGGGCCTTAAGTGATTAGTTACAACATCAGCTATATCTGAATCAAGAGAGCTGTGAATAAATTCAAGACTGCAATCATCATCCACCATATAATCAGCAATGAACTTCTGACTTTCTTTCCATGGTACCTTGTTAATCGACAGCTGCAGCAAAGTTTTTTCCCATCCCAACCAGTTATCAGTCCAGAGCTTTACATCAGAACCATCTGCTATTTCCCATCTAAGACCATCAAGGAACTTACTCCAACACTTAGCAAGATTACGCCAAAGTTTAGAGTCATACGATTTAGCTTTTATACCCCTCCTTAGGTCTTGACCTCTACCATACTTTGCTAATAATATCTGCACCCATAACTCATTTTTCTTGGTTAAAATCTTCCAAGCCAACTTATGAATATAAGCCTTATTTTGAATACGAAGATTGATTATCCCCAAGCCACCTCTATCTTTTGGTTTGTACATTTGATCCCAGGCTACTAGATGAGCGTGACTTCTGCTATCTTGATTACCCCAAATAAAGGACCTTTGTAATTGCTCAATCTCATCACAAAGCGTTACTGGAAGTAGCCCATTTTGCATATGGAATGAAGGAATACTAGCAATGACCGATTTCACCAAAGTAACACGACCGACAAAAGATAAACATTGACCTTTCCAACCATCCAGTTTTGACCTGATCCGATCCTTGATTGCTCCATAATCTGCTTTTATATATCTCCCTTATTTGACAATAGAACCTAGGTATTTGCCAATACTCGAAGTACGCTTGAAACCCATTCTATTAACAATCCTATCAGCAACTTGATTATCAATATTCGGGGAAAAATAAATCAAAGATTTATTAGCACTGACACTTTGCCCTGACATCTCACATAAAAGATTTAGACACTCCATAATCACCTTTGCTTGCTCCATATCTGCTTCCGCAAAGAGGATAATATCATCTGTAAAAAGAAGGTGAGACACACTCGGCCCTCTTCTAGTGACTCTAATAGGCTTTCACACACCCAAATTCACTTTTTCAACTATCAAGTGGGATAATTTCTCAGCACAAAGCACAAAAATATAAGGAGATATTGGATCCCCTTGTCGAATTCCCCTATGAGGAACTATAACATCTGAAGCCACTCCATTAATCATAACTCTCGATCGGTTGGACGTTATTGATGCCATAATAACACCAATCATCCAATCAGGAATTTGGACTTCGAACAAGCACTTTATAGATAAAACTCCAGCTGAGTTTATCATAAGCCTTTTCAAGGTCCAGTTTGATTGCCATTGTACCTCTCTTCCCTTTAGCTCTTCCCATAGTATGAACCAGCTCCTTTGCAACAATAATGTTATCCTATAATTGTCTATTCGGCACAAAGCTAGCCTGATAAGGGGAGACCCAAGTCTCCATTACAAGCTTAAGCCTATCCACAATGATCTTGCTCAAACCTTTATAGAAAACGTTACACAAAGAGATAGGTCTGAATTGAGAAACACACATTGGTTTAGGAATTTTTGGGATCAAAGTGATTAAAGTACTATTCACTTCCTCAATGCTAGTAGGGTTATCTACATAACACTGAATATCCCTCCGAATCTACTCACTAATAAGGGCCTAATTCTTCTTGTAAAAAGTCGTTGTATACCCATCCTCCCTTGGAGCTTTCGAAGCTTTCATAGAGAGAAAAGCTCGACGAACTTTATCTTTCGAGATTTTAGCACCTACCTGGGAATCAATATCATCATTCACCTTCGGCCAACTCGTCTGGACCCAAACTCGATCATGGTTATCTTCAGAGAAAAGATTAGAAAAATAATCATTAATTACCCTGGAAATATTGTGGTCTCCTCTCACCAAATTTCCAATTGCATCATTCAACTCCAGAATTTTGCTCCTCCGACGACGGACAATTGTTTTTGTATGATAATACTTTGTATTCCTATCACCGTGAGCTATCCAATTAGCACGAGATTTTTCAAACCACATAATCTTCTTCTGCTCTAGGACTTGATCAAGTTCACTCCTTATCCTGGCTTCAATCTTTTCCAGGTGACTTTTATTCTGCTCAGAAATAGCTCTCTGGATTCCTTCAAATCTACCTATCAACCTGTTCTTTTTATGCTGGATATTACCAAAAACTTCTTTATTCCACTGCTTGATAAGAGGAGTAAAATCTCAAATACTATCAACTATTGGTTGATCCTCACGCCAGTTCTCTTTAATGAAGGTATTGAAATGTTGGTGATCCATCCAAAAAGAATGAAACCGAAACAGTCTTTCCACCCCATCATCCTTCCTTGGCTCCAAAGTGATAAGGACTAGGTCATGGTCACTGTTGATACGAGGAAGCACTCGAACCTGACCTTCTTGAAAGATTACTCTCCAATCAGCGTTACTGCAAGCACGATCCAACTGTTTAAAGACTATATCTAAATGGAGAAATTTTGGTCCTCTCCATGTAAATTTTGAGCCTATACCTTCAAGATCAATCATCTTTAAATCAGTCAGAAGGGAAGCAAACTTACTACATCTTTGAATGTCAACTGGCGCTCCACCATGTTTCTCATTAGGGAAAACAATTTCATTAAAATCACCTGCAATTAACCAAGGATCAGAGATATTTTTCTCTAACTGGATTAAATCCTCCCAAAGTCCCTTCCGAATTTCTTCTCGAGGACTTGCATAGACAATTGTATAAAGAAAAGCTTGATCATCCGCCAATCTAACACGAACATGGATGAATTAATGAGTCTGTTTGATGGCTTGAACCTAACACCCATCATTATTCCAGAGAAGCCAAAGTCCTCCTGTAAAACCTTGAGCCTCCTCCACTATTGAGTCAGTAAACCCCAGCTTTCTAATAATCTGCTTTGCTCTCGAACCACTCACCCGAGGTTCAAGAATAGCTGCAACATCAATCTTATACCTTCGAACCATCATTTGAAAAGTTGATTTGAAGCATTTTTTAGCCGCACCGCGGCAATTCCATGTAACTAAAGACATTAATCAATGGTAAGTTGGCAAGAATTCGGGTCTTCTGCCATCCCATTTTCATCGAACTGAATATCAGATTCTGAAACCATCTCAACCTCATTATTGAGATCATAATTCATTTGAATATGCTTCCATGTGCCCCTACTTGGATCAGGAGCCTTAGGATTAGATAGCCCATTACCTGGTTCGCGAGAAATTTGATCCTCCTTATCCACCTTCATTTGATTAGACTATGTGCTAAACTCAACAGCATTAGTCGTAACCATCATAGGGTCCCCATCATTTTTGCTACCAAGATTCTTAGTAGTCTGATTCATACGCTGCCTCCTAGGTTTATCCGTGTTAATGCTTGAAAGACCACGTTCAGTTTGCATCCCATTTAATTGCTGCTCCTTAGCATGACCTGTCTCAGTTCCACTTAAGGTAAATCAATGGGGTTGCTCATGTAATTCAACGGTAGTATGACTTCTAGGGTTTCTTTGCTTTGTCCCTTGAAATTGACTGGCAGTAATATTTTCAGGAGGGCCCACCACAGCTGCGTCATTTAAATCCACAACCGGATTATTCTCTGTCAAATGATTAACAGTACCGTTATCAGTGGAGCTCATTAAAACAGCAAAACAGGAATTAGATTGGCTGTCAACCGTAATTAGTGGACTTGATTGCGGTTGATTATTCACATGATTATGCCTTAAATCACGTCTAACAGTTTCCTTTTCCTACTTTCGGGTGTCTACCGTTTGGTTTTGAATTCTTGGACGACGTTGACGCTGCACCACCATCCAAGGACCCAAGCCATTTTTCTGGAACTCAGTTCATCCTTTTTTCCTTCTGAATTTTGTTGTCCATCGTTTCCATCAACTGATGATTCAGGACAACATTCTTTACTATGCCCATAACGCCCACATTGAAAACAAATAAGGCCTAAACCTTCATAATCTATCTGATTGGTTGCTCCATTCAGCACATATTCACCCTTCAAACACTGAGCAAGATCCAGTTCCACGCAAATTCGGGCAAAACATCCTCGAGCATGTTCATTGGTTGTCCTATCAATCTTTAACAATTTCCCTAACCAGTTTCCAATCCGACGGAAGAAAGCTTCATTATAAAATTCCAGTGGGATATCTGGTAGACGCACCCATGCTGCAATCTTCATCACACTTGCTGCATGTGGATAGAAAGCTGGCTCCCAACGTCTCAGTGAAAGATAATGACCTAAGATGACCCAAGGACCACCGTTTAGAGCAAAAAGAAGATCATCTGTATTGCTAAATTGCACCACATAAAAACCATTGCCTACATCAGTGACATTGATCTTCCCAGAACGTGCCCATAACATTTCAATCTTCTTTTTCATGAAAGCCACTCCTGTATTCCTACCAAGGAGTTTAACTATCAGCGCTTTCTCCCACACCTTCAACAATCTTATTCTTGCTTTTCTAGTACAGCCAAAATGAGTACGACCATCTTCTTCCGAGAGACAGACAAATTTCATCCCTAAATAAATTAGAGACGAAATTTGAGATGGATTTTTTTTTTCTCTAAGCAGCTTAATGCTTTGGGATAGAACTAAAATCCTGTCCCAATTAGGTACAAAATAAATTTCTGAAGCACCGACACTTCAAAAACCTTCGTGTCCGACACTTTCCGACATTCTCCGACGCTCCGACACTCCAACACGCATTATAGAAATTCAAAAAAAGTTCAAAGGATGCGTTGCGTTGAGTTTTTAGTTTAAACTATTAGATTCGTTGGATTACAGTTACCATTTTATTGAGTTTAATATAAATATTTGGGATATCTTATGTTTCTTTGCAAAATTGATGAATAGTTTCATTTTTTTTGTTAAATTATTAAATATTAAATATAATATACACTACATAAATTAAAAATATTAAATAATATCAAAACGTGTCCTAACGTGTCGAAATCTAACATTTTTTAGAATTAACTTGTCGGAGTGTCGTGTCCCGTGTCGGTATCGATGCTACATAGGGTAAAAATGAGAAGTGAAGAAAAAGAATAATATTGTGTGTTTTACCGTGGATAGTGTCCTCGCAGCGCGCTAAGTTAAACTGAGGATCTATATATTGCACCAACATAGACACAGAGTGGACACGAGACACGATAAAATATTCTCATACGTTAATTTTAAAAGTAAATTCTCTTTTTGGATCCCTAACAAAAAATATGATTCCCACTTTAATCTTTACAAAAAAAAAATTAGTCCTGACTTTCCTAAGAAATTCAAAGTGGACCCATTTAGTTGAAATCGTAGTCCCTCAAAAATTCAAAAAAGATCCACATTAGTCTCTCAAAAAGACTAAAATGGATCCGCTTTAAATTTTATAGGGACCAAGCGACTAATTTTTTTTGTAAGAGACTAAAGTGAGGATCGTGTTTTTTGTTAAGAACCCAAAATGGGTTTTACTCTAATTTTACATACATTAAGACATGTTTTGATATTAAATAATATTTTTAAATATATTATGATAGACATGTCTTAATTTAAATACATTAAGACACATTTTGATATTAAATAATAATTTTTATTTATATCATGTATATTATATTTAATATTCAATAATTTAACCAAAAAATTAAGTTAAACTTATAGTACCCATCAATTTTGTAAAGAAACATAAGGTATCCCAAATATTTATATTAAATTCTATAAAATGATAATCGTAATCCAACGAATTTAATAGTTGAAACTAAAAATGCAATGCAATCTTTGAATCTTTTTTTGAATCTCTACAATACGTGTTGGAATGTCAGGGAGTGTCACAGTGAGGGAGAGTGTCGGATACGATACGTCAAATTTTTTGAAGTGTCGGTACATTATAGTCGTGGATAGTATGTGTTGTGTGTGAATTAGTGTGTGTAAGCATGCATGTGTAGTAAACATAAATATATGTTACCTGATTCTTTAATAAGTTGAAATTTTAAAAAAATTAATTTTTATATTGATGACATGATTAATTTTATTATTGGATCAGACTCGTTTTGGACGAGTAAGGCTGCTTGACCCAATTGGTCAGTCCTACTTTGCCAGCCTTACTTTTAGTTTGGTTATTCAAATAAATATTTTTATATTCAAAAACTCACATTAATATATTAAAATTATTAATATTTTATTTAAATTTAAGTAAAATAATAAATAAGACATACATAATTAATTAAAAAATTTAAAATTTAAACGAGTAGAAGTTGATAATAACATGCATCATTTATCCTTGGTCATATAGGGGCGTAAGTGGATAAAACGACTTATAACGGGCTTACTGCGTGCCTTGCCTTTAGCTTGACGTAACCTGAAACTACTTTAAAAATAATACAATTTTGAGCTCATTAGAATAATTTTTTGAAATTAGGCCATATATATTTTAAAAGGTATGGCCTCTAACCAGGGGCGAACGCAGGAATTTTAATGACGGGGGCGAAAATAAAAAATATTATATTATAAACAAAAAAATTTGAAATATAATATAGATCTAATATAAAACAAATTAAAAGAAATATATTACAAAGATTAAGATCACTTCATTTGACTCTTATTTTACGTATTTTCTTATTATTAAACTCATATATAATTGAATCCATGTTAAAACTCAAAACAATTTCTTTTTTTAATGTATGTAATCAAAGAATCATCAAGAAATTGATCTTCTATTTTATTTCAAAACTTGTTCGTGATTTTATTTTACGCACGTGGATCCTGACTTTTTTCATTCTTTTTAAATGTCAGAATACACATGTGTAAATATGTTTGCTACGAAAAATTCATATGCTATTGCTACAGAAGATGCGAACCCATAAATAAATCATGTTATCTATTATCAATAAATTAGATACCCACAAAGTTATATATGTCCTTTCATTCTTTTTATAGCTAAAATTGTTGGAAATTTAAAGAGATTAAGAATAATTTAGAAGAACACACTACAATTTTTTAATCTCACATTCACGTGTTTGGTAGGAGGTGAAAAAAAAAATTTACTAGGAAAATGGGGTTGGAAAGTTATTTGCCTATGTTTGGTAGGAGGTGAAGTAAAAGTATGGCTGGGAATTTTTTTTTACCATTTTTTGCTTTTCTATGTAAAATAGTTGGGGAAGATTACTATTGAAGAGGTGGAATTATTTTTTTCATGTGGTGGGAAAATTAACACACAACATCATTAAAATTAACTCACCAATTCCGAAAAAAATTTGGCCTACCAAACACCTTTTAGTAACTTAACCAGAAAAAAAAATTCACATCATATTTGTACCAAACACCTACCAAATCTATATAGAAAAAGTGTTTGTCTTTTTAAATGATACAACTTATATCATTTCACTCTCATAAAGATATGGTACCCATAATTTTAATTTTTTTTTCCACTCTCTCTCCCCCTTTATCTATTTCTTTCTCTTACTTAAAATAACACAACTTTATATCCTTTAAAATAATACACATTTTTTTCAACCTATATATTGGCAAATGAACTACCGAATCAAGTCCCCCACTTTTTAATATTTTAATTCTAGAAATATTTAACTTCTCTTTGTCTTCTTCATAACCAAAATCGTCATTGACTTTTCAAACTAGTACAATTAAGAGAAGCTGAATGAAAAATGAAAATGCAAAAGCTGAATCATTTTCTTAAATTTTACCCCAAAAGAAGGTAAGAGAGGCTGAGACGGGTTATTAACTATCACTGAAAACTGAAGAGTGAAGAGGTACTTGAAGAGTGTTTCAAGATTGAGTCCACGCCCCCCTTTAATGAAAATGTTTGTGCTTCCTCTTCAGTTGTCTTCTCTTGCAATTGCAAGCTGAACAATTTTCATAAGTTTGATTTGAGCTCTTGATATTTTATGCTTCATCTTCACGCTCACACATGTCAGTAATTTATCCACTCACACTCATATTTTGTAATATTATTAAAATATCATTTATATATATAATTTCTTCCATCAAATTTTAGGGGGGGCGGGGGATGCCCACCCTAGCCCCCCTAGTTCCGCCTCTGCCTCTAACTCTCCAGGTTTGACTTGTATTTTTATTAAAAAATAATAAAAATAAAAATAGTATAATACAAATAACTAAAAATTTTGAATATATAAATTTCATTAACTCCACATAATTTTCTTTTCTTTTCTTTCCTCTTATTAATTAATAAAATTTGCATCTTAGAGCAATTAGTTTTTCGGATACATATATAATTTCTAGATAGCATATCCAACTTAGGTCCATTAAGCATTAGACCCAATAACTAAGGAGAAAACCTTAAACCACTAAGAGGACTCTTAGCAGCCACCGTATATATAAGAGATCTTCGCTCTTATTCATCAAGCAATATGAATTAGGTAAATATTATACCTTACACACCATGACTATAGCTGATGCTAACTTTAGCTTCAGTGTGACTTGCAGGTGCACAACACCCTTTGTCCCATTAGAGCACACAGAGGAGCATCTTGTTGTTGCCACCATCACATTATTCGTTTGAAGCTCAAGCACAATCACATTCAATGATTAAGTACACATATTTGTTCACATAAGAGAATTTGCTTGGAGGACTTTGTCTTCAGCAAATGGGCAGAATCCATGAGAATTAGAGGAGCAATATCCACACTTAACATCCTTCACTATCAGTGAAGACTTGTTCTCGACACCTAATTGGTTTAGGCAATGTGGAAGGAGCACAATATAGGGAATGAGTTTAAATCCTCAAGTTTTGGGGGAAACTATAGTGGGTAAGGTTTTGCCCTCTGTTCAGATATTTCTGACTACATATATGACGTAAAATTACCCTTTTTTACTTCAAAAAAATATTCAATTTGGATAATCAAACAAAAAGTTCATCCTTTTGCACTTTCACAAAAAAATAAAATTCAAATACAAAATTTAGTCTTTATTAGGGATGGACTTAGGGACAAATAACATTTCCTCTCTAATTTCATCCCAAATTGGGACATATAATATTTTGTCTCTACTTGGAATGGAATCAGGAACGAAACTCTTGAAAAGGAATATATTTCATCCCTAAGTCCATCCCCAATAGAGACATCACATTTTTTCGTCTTGATATGTGTCTCTAATATAATTATAGTTCAATACGAGGTATTTCAGTATGTGTTGTATCTGTTGCAATTTAAGATTCGCAGGTTTAATTGTGTTCAAGACTGACATTGATTCAGATTCTATGTGAATTCATGGATGAATTCTAAGTCTGATAATGTTTAATTATGTTTTGTGTAGATTTTCTGTATTACAGGTTTTTGGATTTATCCGAATTATAGCCGTTATGTTGTCCATAGGTTTTTAATTCGGAATGGTCTCTATATTTGGATGGAATATATCTGTCCAGTATAGATATAACTAGAATAGACATAAGTAGATCGTTCAAGAAATTTGTACAGGTAAGGGACTGTGCAAATCATAATATTCGGAATTAAGTTTTGTACGTGGCAATATGGGGAATAATAGGTAATGCGTTAATTGTCAACATAATGTAAATCAGAACGTTAATAGGATAAAAGAAAAAGTTTATTCGTATTTTTTTTCTATAACTAGAATATACGCATGTTAAGCCTTTTGCTTAATTCATAATTTGTAGAGCGCTAGTGTACCATATGTAGGTTAACTCACCGGTTGCAGACGAGGTGTTACATTTATGGTATCAGAGCAGTTTGGTCTAGGAAATTCCTTTCGTATTACCAATTTGATGTTATGAGTTGCTTTTAGATTGTTACTATGAGTATGCATATGTGATCACTACGTGTGGGCTTGATCAACTCATTTCTTTGTGTGACATGTGCAAAATCATGTTACCTCCTACAAGGACTTGGGGAACATCTAATCCATCGCTGGATCTAACAGCTATAGCTTTGGCTAGTATTCAATAAGTAATGGAAGCGAATAGGCAGGTAGAAGCTGAAATCAACATGCATGCATATCAGGCTATGTTGAACGAGAACAAGGTGAATAATCAGAATATGTTTCGGACTATGCTGGAAGAGTTTAGGACGGGTGGAAATGCTAATCCGCCACCACCTCCACAACCTCAACCGTCGTCACCTCCCCCATCTCATCATACGTTTCCTATGTTAGGTGATGATGGTGAAGTAAGTCATCAAGGAAATGTTGGACATGAAGAATCTAACCAAGATGCGGGTGTTGTACAACCGCAGATGATTAAGGATGATGATGAAGCTATGGAAACACGGTTGAACGCTTTCAGGAAACATCAGCCTCCGCCGTTTAAGGGTGGATATGATCCGACAGAAGCTGCTAGATAATTGCAAGCCATGGATAAGATTTTGAAAGTTATGAGATGCAGAGATCCACGAAAATTGGTGTTTGCTACGTATATGTTACAGGATGATGCACATGACTGTAGGATGAATATCTCACAACCTTTAGAGAAACAAGGTCAGCAGATTACTTGGGATTTGTTTGAAGGTCTTTTCTTAGACAAGTATTTTACTAGAGAAGCTAGGGAAAGTAAGGAGAAAGAATATCTGGAGCTGAAGCAGGGAACAATGACTGTTGATCAATATCTGGCTAAGTTCAATGAACTGGTAAAGTTTGATCATTACAGGAAGGTTTTACCTACTCTTGTTGAACAAGCAGTGAAGTTTCAATGGGGTTTATCTGAGAAGTTGGCAAAGAAGATTTCAGGTTATGCATCTAGAGACTTTCCTACTCCAATTAAGCAATGTAAGTCTGTAGAAGAAGTTTATGGCGCGTATAAGAAATCAACTGAGGTGAAGGAAGTAACTACTAAAGCTGGACCGAGCAAAGTTCCTTTCTGGAAAAGAAATAAAGGCATGATTTTTCAAGCGAGATAACCTGGTGATAAATTTAAAAGGCCTTGGAAACAATAGAATGGTAATCCTAAACCTATTCCAAAATGTGCCAAGTGTGGTAAAAATCATTTCGGTTGTTGATTATCAACTTTTGACATCAAATTAGTCTTTTAATGTTGAATTAAATTTATACGAGATAAAATTATTACTTATGGCAGAGCTTGAGATTTTAATTTTATTTTTCATAATTTTGATTTATTTTGAGGTTATATTAATTTTTATAATAAAAAAATTTATCCCAACCCCAAAATGATTATCTCCCTTAACAAGAAAAATGCTATACCATTTATTGTTTTTTTGTGTGGATATTAATACGAGTCCTTCATTGGTATTATATGAATATTTTTATATATTTATTATCAAATAATGAAATTGATAATATGTAACTTTTTATCATAAAATTGAGATTTCAATTTAAATTAAGGGAGGTGTATTGGATTAGGATTTTAAAAGATTTTTTTGAGATAAAAAATCTTATAGATTTTAAAAGACTATTTAGAATTGGAGGAATTTTAAATGCTTTTTTAAAAGACTTTTTTTTACAATCAAGATTTCATAAGATTGGATTTTAAAGAATTTTAATAGAATTTATAAGATTTGAAAGGACAATATGGATTTATAAGATTTTAAAAAACCATATGAATTTTTAACAAACATTCATAATTACAAGAGTCAGTAAAAAAAGTGAAGGTTATACTTACAACCTATTTTTGTTTACAACCATATCTTAACCGTTGATTTCCGTCAATTAACGGTTATCATTCATTGCGAATTAAATATTAATTGAGATATGTGAAATATCTAAAGTTATACTGGTATAACTTTATACATGTGAAAAGTTGTTGCTTAGTAATTTTGAATGTTTGTTAAAAAATATATTATATTTTACTGATTGAGAAAATTATATTAAGTTTTATTTTTTTATTAATTTCATGGGAACAGATCCACTTACCACCAAAAAAGTTTACCACTCTTACAACAAATTTAATCACCATTGATTTTCGTCAATCTAATGGTTATAATTTATAGAAATTAATAATATTTATTGTGTCACACTTATTATTTAATTATTAATTCCGAATAAATTATAACCGTTAGATTGACAAAAATCAACGGTGATTAAATTGGTTGTAAGAGTGGTAAACTTTTTTGGTAGTAAGTGGATCCTGCCCCTAATTTCATTGCATTTCTTTGTTTTTTTATGGGAAAGTTTATACTTACAACCTATTTTTGTTTACAATTTTTTACAATCATATCTTAATTAATATTTAATTCGCAATGAATGATAACTGTTGATTGACAGAAATCAATGGTTAAAATATGGTTGTAAATGGTTGTAAACAAAAATAGGTTGTAAGTATAACCTTTCCCTTTTTTTATTGACTCTTGTAATTTTGAATGTTTGTAAAAAATTCATATGATTTTTTAAAATATTATAAATTCATATTGTCCTTTTAAATCTTATAAGTTCTATTAAAATCATTTAAAATCCAATCTTATGAAATCTTGATTGTAAAAAAAGTCTTTTAAAAAAGTATTTAAAATTCCTCCAATTCTAAATAGTCTTTTAAAATCTATAAGATTTTTTTATCTCACAAAAGTCTTTTAAAATCCTAATCCACTATATCCCCTAAAATTATTGAACAAGTGCCAATTTAATATAGTAGACAAATTCTTTTTTCACACGTCTATCCTATATAGCACCGATACGACACGCGACACGTGACACGACACGACACGACACTCCGACACGTCAATCCTAAAAAATTATGGATTTCGACACGTTGGGACACGTTTTAATATTAAATAATATTTTTAATTTATATAGTGTATTTTTCATTTAATATTTGATAATTTAACAAAAAAATGAAACTAAATTAATAATACCATAAACACGTTATAAAGATGAAAGCTTTAATAAAAAAAATAAGAACTGGATGAGAGATATATATAATATCAGATAGAGAGATCAAATTATATTAGAGAGAGATCAGAGAGAAGAAGATACAACAAGAGCGTGATAGGAATTGACAACAATGATGCTGAGCTAATCTCTTATCTACTTAAGGGGAAAAAAGACAAAAAGACAAAATTGATATGATCAGGTGGAAGCTTTATTAATATATTTTAACTTTTTAAAAAAATAAATTTTTAAAAAAAAAAATTAAAAAAAAATAAAAAAATTACGAAAATCTCATTTGACCGTGTCCGACACGGTCAAATTCGCGTGTCGGAATAATCAACGTGTCGGAAAAAGTCAACCGCGTGTCCGACACCGTGTCGGAGCGTGTCGGACCCGACTCTTCCTGTTTTTACAAGTGTTCGTGCTTCCTTGCATCTATCTTCTTTATACCTAATATATATATTAAAAATTATTCTTTTTACACTGTAGGAATCTGAAGCCTTTCATATCATTTATATTGAATACATCCATTAATCATGATAAAAGGAAAACTAGTAAATGTTTCAGAATTTATTAGGTAACCAGTTTATGAAAAAATGTAGGTACGAACTACGAAGCAATTCCATTCAACAAACCAGCAGATAGAAATTCTTATATACACTTAATATGGATATAATATTTCACACGTCTATCCTCCTAATATCTAATATATGTTAAAAATTATTCTTTATACTCTATAGGAATCTGAAGCCTTTCACATCATTTATATTGAATACATCCATTAATCATGATAAAAGGAAAACTAGTAAATGTTTAAGAATTTATTAGGTAACCAGTCTATAAAAAAAATGTAGTTACGAAGCAATTCAATTCACCAAGTAAATTTGACTTCTTTATTTATATACGGTAAAGCGGTATCAACGCGCCTTTGATTTTATTGGTTACCAAGCATTCATTTATTTCATTATTCTCATTTCTGTCTTTTGATCCTTCGTAGCGCGTTTTGCCCTTTTCTTTTCACTTTCCTCTCTTGAATTTTCCGATGCCACTAACATAACGGAAATGGAATACTCCAACCCATTTACGCAGCTACCATATTGGGGACAACCTTAACGCGAAAACAATACCAACTTGACTTCACAACACAACATATATAATCACCATATCCCTCACAAGATGTTGCATACAATTAGCCCAATACTATTATTACACATATAAGTAATCTTGTGCTTAAAAACTTTACTAGTGTTAATTTTGTAGCAAGTTTATTACAATTATCTGTGTTGTGATAAAATGAGGAATGCAGGGTTTGAGCGTGTTATTAAGTATTTTGATGAAGATGGTGATGGTAAGATTTCTCCCTCTGAGCTTAGGAACCGGGTAGGCATGATGGGTGGTGAGTTATTGTTTAAAGAAGCTGAAATGGCTATTGAAGAATTGGATTCTGATTGTGATGGGTTACTGAGTTTGGATGATTTTGTTGTGTTGATGGAAGCAGCAGGGGAAGAGGAGAAGTTGAAGGACTTGAGAGAAGCTTTTGAGATGTATAATGATATTGAGATGTGTGGGTTTATAACACCCAAAAGCTTGAAAAGGATGCTTGGCAAGTTAGGAGAATCAAAATCCGTGGAGGAATGCAGAGTGATGATTGGTCACTTTGATTTGAATGGAGATGGGGTGCTTAGCTTTGAAGAATTCAGAATCATGATGCAGTGATGTTGTTTACATTTATTGTTCAAGTTTTCAATCGGTATAGGGGGTTGGGTTTGATTCATTTATTTGTACATATTTTCAGTCTATTGATTCGTTGTTATGCTTTTGCAAAGATCCACACTGCATTAGACGTCACTAGTAGCGGAAAATGAAAATCTCAAGATAACCTGGCCCCCCCTCTGGGGGAAAAACTAAAATTTCTTTTCATGAAATAATTAATTAATTTTACAAAAAAAAGAAATAATAAATTTTTTGACTGCGACTAATCTGCGGGCACACTAGGCAGCCCGTTCATTAGTTTTCTTAGCTTTGATCGCAATGAAATAAAGAGCCTCTTTGGCTTGTTTTTTTAAAGTTAAAAATTATTTTAAATTAAAGCTAATAGGTACTCCATGCAATTTACTATGGTCACCAACCAATATATTCTCCAGTGTAACACCCGTATAAATAGGCCACGCTTAATAGGCCACGCTTAATTAAAAATGCGAAATATCTTTTTCGTATCGATTATAACGTCATTATCATTAGCCAAGTTGAATTACTTAATTTATTTCAAAACATTGATTGTATGTAAATTGCAAATAGACAGCTAACTGAAATACCTCAATATATAAATAACTGTGAGTATTTAAAATCACGGAACAACAACACGTAGCCCAGACATAATCCTGATACATTATTACAACTCAAATCTAAACTAAGAAATAGTCAATCAATGTGGCGTGGACAATCCTCATGCTCACCAAATAAGGCAACAAATCCAAACATAGTCTCAACGACAGCAACATAATAATAACAAGCTAATAGCATATCATCAGCAGATATAATCCAGCATCCAAACATATCATCATATAAACAGCAATATCAGCTAAGCTTCGGCCTCCTACCGCTAGAGGTCTCAACTCCCGCATTACCTGAACCTGAAAATGGTGCCCCAAACGTGGGGTGAAATCTCTAAACAGAGATCTCAGTAAGACAAGGGGTTCTCATGGATCTTCCACCCCAAGCTCACTTACATGTGCAATATAAGTTCCAAAAGCAATTTAACAGTATAAGTTCCAAAACAGTGCAATGCAGCAGATAATCATGGCATGTGTGTTATAACTATTCTACTGATCAGAGAAGTGCAGGAATACGTCTATTACCCACACAGTACACGCTCATGCTGTACCCGCCCACAGAACCACCCCATGGCTTCCTATCTAGGCGAAACACCACATACATATCATAAAGCAATTGCACTTAACACTCAATAGCATTTCACTAAAACAGTACATGAAAACATATCATGCATATAACCATCCCCCCATGGGACATGGTGGAACAAACAATGGCTAAACCGAAGACACGAAAGCTTACCTTGCAAGCTAACAATCCAAGCCAGGAGTTCAATCAAGTTCAAAGCCCAAACACAGTAGAATCACAATCTTTTTACGACCAGCAATCGTATCAATATTCAACTCAACAAGCATAAGACATAAAGACAACGCCTTTCCTTTACGTTTCATGTCTTTAGGCTTCTCACAAAGCCATAAACCCTTTCTCACTTGATTCTGACTTAGGTTATTCATTACGGAAGTCCACATAAGCCAATCATGGGTCCACTAATCCAAAATGGCATTCTGTATGAACAGTATCGTTACTGTTCTCGAAAACCCAGAATATCCAGATATATGTCGGGGATATATCCGGATATCCCATCCGGATATGCATATCCGGATATCATATCAGGATATGCATATTCGGATATCAACAGACCCCGTATTTGGATATCATATTCGGATATTTCGCGACATAATGCAGTTTCTGCATTTCACAAGATATCACTCCAAAGGTTTGGTTTTTAACACTTTAAAATGTTAAAGCATGCATCTTTAAACCCCTCTAGGTCAGTTATCACGTTGGTTACTTTTTTAACTCATTAACATACAAAGACTTAACCTTTAACCTAAGAAAACTCAAGATCAAGGTAGGGAATATACCCAAAGCCTCAAAACAGAAGCATGAAGTGCTCTTGGAGCTCTCCCTTCAGCCCCAAAGGTTCTGACTTGCAAGTGTATGAAAATGGCACTCCACCAAGGTTCCTCCTTACCAAAAATGGCTTCTTAGACCAACACCAGCAAGACACAAGCTCTCAAACAAATCAAACAATAAAGTCAGCCCCACAACTCCTACATACAGTGGTTAAACAACCAGAAAAAGCTCTCACTCCCCCTCACAAGACCAACTCTTACTCAACAATGGTGTTTTGGAGAAGGTTTCATGGAGAAAGGTGGCTCCTTGGTCTCAAAATGGAGAAGAGAAGACAATGAAGAGGTGGAGGCTGCTCAGCTGAAGGTCTCCCACGTAGAAGGCACTAAACAATGACCTAGGATCATGTGCCAAGGCTATTTATAGGCCACTTAAGTCTTAATCGCACTGTATTAGCGCTAATAGCTACGCTTAGCATTTTAATCCCAAACTTAGGATTCTGAGCCTACTCATTTTTTTAAGATTTGTCATATTTTTACTTTATTTTTCCCAGCACCTTTCCGATACGCGCTTTTCCATAGCTAGTATCAGTTCTGGCTCCAGTTCTCATTATTTTAACATGAAACTTGTTATCACAGTCCTATATATTATTCTAGGAATATTCATGCACTTATTATAATTTTTTAGGATACTTCATCGGTACGCATTTATACCGAGTAGCAGAACCGGTATCTGCACTTTTCGTCAAAAGGGACTTTCAGCATTATTAATTACTTACCATAATTATTTAAGTCTTCTCATAATTATTAGAGTCAATTATGGAATTATTTCCTAATTTCTCATAATTCATTAATTAACTTCCTTAATTAACGGTGCGTGTTCTTACATTCACCCCACATTTTTAGGATTATGTCCTCAAAATCAGAATATACCTGTCTCGAAAGTAGGGATACTGCCGGAGAAGCTCGTCCTCTCGCTCCCAAGTACACTCCTCAGGAGTTCTTCCTGTCCATTGCACTTTGACCATCGGAATGATCTTGCTCATCAGCTTTTTCTCGCCACGATCGAGAATCTTGAGTGGTTCGATGGGAGTTTTCAAGTTCTTCCGAACTTCCACATCATTCGGTGCACCACGTGCGAAGGGTCTGCTATGTACTTCTGAAGCTGAGACACGTGAAACACGCCGTGGATGTTGGCCAAGTTCGGAGGCAAGGCAAGCCGGTAGGCAACAGGTCCTACTCTAGCAAGGATCTGGTATGGCCCAAAGAATCTCGGGCTCATCTTCCTCCCTCCGAGGGCCCGACCAACACCGGTGACAAGTGAAAGTCTCACAAACACATGCTCACCCTCACTGAACTCCAGTGGACGATGCTTGACATCGTAGTAACTCTTCTGGCGATTTTGCGCCTGCTTCAGTTTATCTCTGATCATCTGGATCTGCTGGGTAGTATCTTTGACAAAGTCCAAGCCAAACAACTCCTTATCTCCAACCTCAGACCAGCAGGTAGGAGTCCGACACCTCCTACCATACCACGCCTCGTAGAGTGCTATGCCCAGGCTAGCATGGAAACTATTGTTGTACGAAAACTCCACCAATGGCAGGTACCTATCCCATGCTGAACCCTGCTCCAAAGAGCAAGCCCTCAACATGTCCTCCAAGGTCTGGATGGTCCGCTCAGTCTGTCCGTCAGTTTGAGGGTGATAGGCTGTACTCAATCTCAATTGAGTACCAAAAGCTCCTTGCAGCGCCTCCAAGAACCGAGATGTGAACTTCAAGTTTGATCACTGATGATACTCTCGGGCACTCCGTTAAGCCTCACAATCTTGGGAACATAAAGTTTGGCCAATTGCCCTAAAGAGAAGCTCACCTTTTATTCGAAGAAAATGGGCAGACTTCATCAGTCTGTCCACAACGTCCCAGAAAGATTCACAACCAGCCTGAGTCTTAGGCAAACCCATCACGAAGTCCATGGAAACGCTCTCCCATTTCCACTGCGAAATCTCATGAGGTTGAAGCTTACCAAACGGCTTCTGGTGTTCTATCTTCACTTTTTGGCAAACAAACATTTGGACATGAAAACAACAATGTCCTTCTTCATTCCAAGACACCGTCCTAGTTCTTCACAAAGTCCAGGCACTCTCTCTGCACTTGCGCCTCTTGGATCTATTCCATGAGCTCAAACTCAACTCTCACAGCCTTCGTCTCGATAAGTGCACCCCAAACAATGAAGTCACCGTCAAAACTTGAAACTTCTAAAAAGCATCAGAACGACCTTCAATTCTCTAGGATCACCAGTCACGTCTCAATAGAGGTGACCTGACCCCAGATACTCTAATCCACACAAATCTTGAGTGAGTTTGGTCCTATTCCATGACTCTAACATCGACAAGACTTACAAATTAACAATTCATTATTTTCAAAAGAAATTCATATTCCTTTCACAGTATGAAATCTTAATCATGTTCATTTCTACCAATACACGTTAGTTAACATGCTCATTCATATAGTAACGTGCCTTAGTTCACGTACACCTGCAAAATTTTCAATTTCAATAACATAAAAAATCAAAAACTCTATGCAACAGTATACCTCAATCTCCATGGCATCTGCAAAATCAAGAGTCAATTAAAGGTGAATAACATTGATACATTACCACAGTTTATCGTACTTATTTCATGCTTTACACTACCCATGGTGTTAGCATGCCAACTACTTATGACGCATATCAATAATCAACATAAGAACCTAGAGTCATAGAGACCACTCAACCCACAAACTACTTGTACATGCACAAGATTCGCATATACAAGATCGTGTGTGGCCTTGCCACAAGGTCCAAGTGTTAACACTTGAATTTCCTTGAAGAGAATTTCCCATTCTAAAACAAAGCACCATCACAATAATGTAATGACGTAAGGCATCTTTCTTTACAACAAAATGATCGGTGCTCCCCATGGAGACACGCTCGGTCGAAAGAAGTCTTTCGTCGAAAGATCCTCACTATGCTCCTACAACTCCACCAACTCTGGTG